GCGCTACTTGACATGAGGGAAGGGCACAAGGTCTACAGCTAATCCGCACCACTACGGAGTCAGGCGGCTGGACGCGCCAGCGCCACCGCATCGGCCACTGCGCGAAGCCCAGAGCGACAGCGAGCGGCCGAGTCACTCCCGAGGGGGCCGCAGGCCGTTCCCGGGGCAGCGCGGCAGCCCGACCTGCGCCCGCGGGGCCGGACTCCCAGCCGCCGGTCTCCCAGCCGCGGGAGGGAGCCGGGGTTACAGCTCAGCCGAGGGAAACGCGCCAGGCCCAGCAGCCCGGGGGCGCCTCGCACGGACCCGAGCGCTGCACCCGCCCAACGGCCTTTCCTCGCGGCGGCGCGACCCCGGCCCCGGCCCGGCTCTCTAGCCCGAGCCGCCCCCCAGCGTGCGGTTCGTACCCAGCCGAGTCCCCGCACTTACCTGCCGCCTTTCCTCAGTCACCTCACAGGTAGCTCTTCCGGCTCCGAGTCCCCCGAGGAAACCTACCGGCTCCGCCCTCCTCCCCGCCAGCCATTGGCGCCGGCCTTCTCCGACGGGCTCTGATGCTCTTCCCATTGGCCGGCTCGTATGTCACTCAACGCCAGCCGGACCGACATGCACCGCGCCGGCCTCGCAGGGTTCGGTGGAGAGCGAGCTCCCGCGCCTGCTCCGGCTATTGTGCTGTGTCATGACGGCCGAACCACCCACAAGCGATGGGGGGAGGCCTTTGCGACCAACGGGACTGTGGAGCAGCTCATCTGTCCTGCGGGGGGGGGAGCACATCAGCGCCTAATATGGAACTAGAAGAACAGGAGGACTTGTGGCACCTTAGTGGAACTGATACTTGTGGAGCGGCCTATTCGCAGCGGGGTTTGGGGGCGCGGCCCCTAGTGACGCCCAATGGAACAGCCTGGAGCGGTCTATCGATCCTAAGGCGTGCGGGGAGGAGCAGCCCCTACTGGCACCGCATGGAACTGAGTGTGGAGTGGTTCATCTGCCCTGGGGGCGAGGGGGGGAGAACAGCTCCTAATAGCACCCAAGAGAAGTGTCTGTGGAGCGGCCCACTCACCCCTGCGGGGTTGGCGGAGCCCCTCAATGGAGCTGCTTGGAGCAGCCCATCCATCCGGGGTGCAGGGAGGAGCAGCCCCTGGTGCCTGTGGAGTGGCCCATCTGCGCTGGGGGACATGTGGAGCAGCTTGTGCCAGGCCACCCTGCAGTGCCCAGCTCCCCTGGAGGCCAGGCGGCCGGGCGAGAGCGAGGGTCACCCCCCCTGGGACCCACCATGGGATGCTGCTGCCTTCACCTCCAGACCTGGAGCCTCACCACCAGGGGGGCAAGTCCCTCCCCAGGGGCAGTGGGTGCAGAGCCCAGCCACCAGCTGCCCCGGGGAGGAGCAGGCCCATTGCCATGCACTGCCAAGGCTGGGATACGAGATGCGCGTGGCGCGCTAGTTCCTACCCAGGATCGCCCACAAGGAGGGCAGATGCTCTGGCCACGATGGATGCTCCGCCATGAGCAATGGAGTGCCCCAGCATAGCGGGAGCATACTCAGGCCCAGCACAGTGGGCCCCCAGGCATCAACCAAGGGCTTCGACGTGGTGGCCTAGCCCAAGGACTGCTTAGATTGTAAACGCTTTGGGCCTAGCACTCTGAGGCCTTGGGGCCTGGAGGCATTATCACAATACAACCACTACCTACTGAGCAACATTTATTAAAAGAAAACACACAGGCACTTTGGACCAAGTCCCATGTCTTCCTCCATCCCTTTGGTTTATCTTTGTGTCCATTAGAGGTAGGGATCCTAGGTTTTTTGGCATAAAGGAACGTTTTATGCAGAAACTGCATCATTTGCTAACAGAACACAGCCCTTCTACATTACACCTGCAGACCCTGCCCAACATGGACTTGTGGCAAGGGAAGACATTACAGTGCAGGCAGTTCTGGGAGCTGTAGTCAACACTGTTAATAGAACAAGAGAACACAGAATAAACTAGGCAATATTTGTTCCACTGCAGAAAAGCAGAAGTCTGAGGAAGGGCGTGAAGAATCTCACCCAATGGGAGTGAGCAATCTGATTCCTGTTTTACTCCACC